TCAAATCTTGAAACTCGTTAATGTGTTCTTTGTCTGAAGAAAAATACAGGAAAGTACATGCATTCAAGGGAGCAAAGGAAATGTGGGACACCCTAGTTGTCACTTATGAAGGATCAAATGAAGGCAAAAGAAACAAGTTGAGCTTGTTAACGTGTGAATGTGAATTATTCACCATGCTAGAGAATGAAAGCATCCAAGCCATGTTCAACCAATTTCAAACGATCTTAAATGAGTTAAGATCATTGGGTAAAAATTTTAATAATTTTGATAACATTGACAAAAATTTTCACAATCTTTCAAGTCAATGGAGACCACAAGTCACCACTCTAAGAACCTCAAAGAAGCTTGATAGGATGAGCTTAGAGATACTTAGCGGAATCCTGAAGGTACATAGAAGGAGCTTCAAGAAGATGGAATCATAAAGAAGGAAAGGAGCATAATGTTGAAGGCTTAGAAATCTATCAGAAGGACTCCTACAAAAGCAGAAGAACCTTCAAAAAAGTCAACCAGTGAAGAAGATTTTATGGAAGAAGGAGAAGAAGATGAACTATTGTTCATCTCCAAGAAGATCAACTCAATAAGGAGAAGGAAGAAAGGAAAACCTCTTGGTTCAACTTCTAGAAATGATCAGCGGGAAAAAAGTCCCATCTTATGCTATTAATGTAAGAAACCAGGTCACTTCAGATCTGAGTGTCCTAATCTAGAGAAGATAAAAAGAAAGCCTGGCGTTTATAAATAAGGGGAGAGAAAAGCATTGATGAGTACCTGTGAGGATCTAAACTTCTCAAAATCTGATGAAGAAGAACAGGAACACTAGCACAAAAATCGCGTACAACGTCGAATATTTTGGGCTTTTAACGGTGAATTCGGGAACGACGTCATATTAGGAGACCTTAAATTTATGTCGAGTTTAAAAAATTCGACGTTAAATTAACATCAAATTTTTGTCAATATACGACGTTAAGTTAACGTCGAATCTTGTTAATATACGACGTTAATCAATTTTGTTTTTGCTTTTTTTAATTAATTGTGATCCTTTTTTACAACTCTACAGGATCTGAAAAGCAGAAAAACAACAAATTTCAGTTTTTGGTATTTTATAAAGCAAGAACTATGAACGTAGTATTAACAACAAACAACAATAACCAACAAAAAACAAGTTCAATCAAACAACAACAATAAACAAGTTCAATCAAACAACAACAAACAAGTTCAACCAAACAACAACAAACAAGTTCAACAAAAAAGACAA